AATCCGGAACCCGCATAGCAAGTAAAAGAGAGGACATTCCAACAAACTATTATGAAGTTTTATTTGTTAAATGATTACTTTTTGTTCATTAAAAGCTTTCTTAAAAGAATTCCAATTATTTCCTGAAATTATCAAACTAATTTTGAATATTTAGTGAATAAAAACACATACTTTGAAGCCTAAATGCCTTGATTTACTTTCATTAAAGGCTGAAAAAGGAATAGGGGCAGGGATATAAAAATATCAAAACTTTCTTATATGTACACTAACCCCTACTTTTCTTGCTATGAAAAGGAACCATAATATCTAAAGAAACTGTACAACAATTTTCTGAAAAAGTTAATTGTAGAAATATGTTTTTCTCAGGTTTTTCAAAAAATTTTCTTGGGAAAAATTGCTTAAAATTGACACCAGTGAACACTATTTTTGGGTACAAGTTATCTAATTGGTATTTATTTGCTCATATTTTGCTTTAAAAAATCAACTTTGCAATACTTTCAAGTGAATTTAAACTATTTCATGTTTGAATTTATTGTATTTATAAGTTTATGAGGTTTTTTATGGTCTAATAGCTTTTTAATGAAATTTCCCATGCTCTATTTTGGCCTATGTTCGAGGGGTTGAATCTCTCTTCCAAATAAGGCCGATATTTAATTTTAAATCATCAAACACATTAGTGCACACTTAAGAGATAAAAATAAAACTATTAAAATAAGTAAAAACTTGTACTGTATGTATAATCTTTGAATGCATAAATAATTGTATATATATAAGGCTTAGTTCTTCAGTAATCATCATAAATATATCTGACATGCTACATTTTACTTTCCAGAAAATACCATTATCTTTATGGCTCGCCTATAAATCGGACATAGAGTTTTGGGCTACAATTTAAAACTAAAAATCGACTTATAGGCGAGTATATACGGTATCTTGAAAAAAATTGAATTGGACCGCTCGGCGAAGATCCGTCGTAGAATCAATGTATGCAATTCAACTCAATTTGAATTCAATGTTGAATCAACGTTACATTTTCAAAGTTGAAAAGTCAACGTTGAATCCATATTGTTTCAAGGTTTACCAACGTCTAAACCAAACTTCAACTAATATTCAACGTTTCAACAACGCTGTGTGTCTGTGGCGATGTTGATTGCGCAGAATTTATGCGCATAAGATTCATTGAAGTGTTTTTGTAAAACAATGCCTTTTGCGCTCCTCGGTTAGTTTTATATGTGTTTTATGTCCTCTTAAAATATTTGTATTGTTTAATTTTCGAGAACGATCATTGTTCGTTTGCTTCACGTTTTTTTCATTTATATGACTTTATATTGAATAATGTAACAAACAGCTGATATCAATGCATTAAAATGTAAAAGATTTTTTTTTTTCAATTTTTTTTAATCATTATGCAAACCTATTTACAATCTTAAACTATACCGGGCCAGGATGGTTAGTATAACAAAAATAGCATAGTAACATATATTAATTAAAAGCATTTCTACAAATGTCACCATCCCATTTTTTATGAAAATGTGTTTTTGTTAACTTCAGTATAATGTCCATATTGTTTTTAGCATTTGTTTTACATAAGAAAGTGACATATCATTTGTTTCAGATTTGAACTTAACTCTACAAAACATTTTAAATTTATAGATGTATTTAAAAATTGTATTTTGGAATTCTGTTCATAATAAAACCCTAATATGACACATGTACACCACTGTACATAAAAATCTAATACAAAACTCAGATTTTTTCATAATATATGAACATTTTCACAATCAAAAAGTAAATGTCTAATATCTTCAATTTCATCACTTATATTACAAAAAGCAGAAGTTCTATATTTGCATTTAAAAAGAAAATTGTTACAACACAATGTATTATTTAACAATTTGTAATTTTCATATTCTTTTGTCATAAATATCTTTCTTTGTTTTTATATTTATCCTTCCAGCTCTTTTGAGCTACAGAAAATATTGTTTTTAAATAATACAATTTTCACAATTGACAAAATTGAAATAACTCTTCTCTATATTCTGAATGTATAAACAACGAGTCACATTGAATCGTTAAGATTTTTTATGGATTGCCGTTTTTGATATCTTATATTCATACATCTCGGCAAAATCTCAGGGCTGTTGTGAACAGTGCGGAAGGAAGCATGTCATGTGACCTTCTGGACCACATGTTTCGTGTATGGCAGAACGGTGGAGTGGGTGAAAAAAAAAGAAGGGAAGTGACTTAAAAGATAATAAACACTAAAACGCTTATTATAATTAATTTCATTATATGACGTTAATTATTTTGTTTGGGATTTTTTCATCTCCCCTTGTAAAAATAATTATTAACATCGAACAAATATTTTCTCTTGGTTGCTTCCTTCATATACCCTTATCACCTACATACGTGGTTTATACCTCTCAGTTGATTCGATACGCAAGAGCAAGCTCTATGCATAATCAATTTCCAGTGAAGTTGAAACAGTGTCGTTAAAAGTTATCATCTCGTAATTTCTAATGTCAATACAATGACCTTGTCATCAAATACATGGACAATCTATCATTAAGTCAAAGGCTGACTGACGGTTTTCATACAATTTATTTAACCATTATTAACAGACTGAAATGTTGACGGATTTCTCCGTTAATTCCCTACCATTACAAGAGCACAAGGCGAGATGTGACCGTATAACAAGGATGCTTACTCCTCCATGGCACCTGATCCCACTCTGATGTTTAAGAGGTCCATGTTTTCCTTTCACCTGATTTGTATTGTTTTATGGGCATATGGGCTTTTATACTGATCGTTATCTCTATGTATTTCATGTTGTGCTCAGATACTATTAATCCCAATAATTCAAATAAATTAATGATCAACTGCTTGAATTTGACATTCATAATTCAAATCTCTTTGTATTTTAGTGAATGAAGGCCATGGTATTAATTATCATGAAAACTTAATTAAGGAAATAGACTTCTTAAATCATTATGGAAAAATATTGCATGATGAATGTTTTAATTTTTTTTATGTCTGTTATGGTTTCTTCATCTTTTTGCTTAAAACACATGCATTTGGTTCTTTTTTAAAAGAGAGCAACCTGTTTTCTATATAACTAATAAAAATGAAATTTTTCAAAAGATGTAAATTGAATCAGAGGACTGAAAGAAAATCCGAATAAAAAAAGGATTTTCTCTATAGTTTGCATGAAAACCTGAAGGGCTGTAAAAATTATTTTTAAAACAAGTTTTTTTTTTAATTTTGTTCCGTATGGAAAATATGAAGATAACAATGAGTAAATATATTATATGTTAAATATCTTTACAGTCAGCACAAAATAGTACATTTGTTCACACTCAGGTTATTGTTTAATGATTTATATTATAGTTTGTAATTAAATTCTGCTATATACTTTTCTTTGGTAAATGGAAAACCATAGGTATCTGGGAGCATCAAACGATTCACTCCAGTGATTTTCCGTTTTTAGTCTTAAAGTTGCATAGACACAGATTTGAAGTTAATATTTTCGGTATAAAATCACGACTTATATAGTGTAATAGCTTTTCACACGAAAACATGAATATTTCATCTAAATGTGATTGAAACTGCAAAATTTTGGATGGGTAAGGGTTTAATGGACACATCTCTTACAATTTCATAAATTTTAATATCATTTTTAATAATTAAAAGTGACAATCGTAATGTGTATAAATGAAAAATATTAAATTTGATTCAGAAAGATATCGTTATTCCGCGCTTAGTGTTGTGTACAGAGTTTAGCAAATTGAACACATCCGTGAAACGTACACACTTTTTGTACACAGGGCATGAGTTCTACTATTGTTAATGTTTACGATTCACCGGGTGTGTTCAATTGTTATAGCCTGTTCACCACAACTGCAAGTAACTTTTTATTAATACACAACGAGATTGCCACTTTTCAGAAGTATTAAGAATAAAATCAAAATTTATTAAAGTGCAAGGATGTGTCAATCAAACCCATCCAAAAACTTAAATTTCAAAAACTTTATAACAAGATATTATTCTTGTTTAAAATCTTATTATAGAAATATCTAATATCATGGAACCTACCATCTGCATCACACGGGTCTCTTATGCATAGAATTCCTGATTTAATCCAATTTTCAAAATAAATTAATTTGTTTTTATGTTTAAAAAATGTATTGTTCTATTCATTCATAGTAGTAAAGATAGAAATTCGTCTTTGGATAGCTTTGTAAAATCTTTAACCATTTTACAGGCATTGGATGTACAAATTAATTCTTTGTAAAAGGTGGGAATGTATTTAAGCTCTTTGCTATCATCTACATTTATTAGATTAGTTTTTTAAGTGTAATATACTCCTTACTCCGCTCCTCTAGAGCAGACGCTCTAGCACTGTGCCACGCGGGCGACGTTAAAACAAGGAAATACATAAAAATAAATGAATATGCATTAAACATATAATGAGAGGCATTGATTTCAAATCCTACACTTTTAATTCTATTTTTCAGTGCATTTATATAGGACACATTTTTGATTTGAAGAAAAAACCAATTCAATGCTTCATTAAGAAAAAAAATATCGATACTACTTTATAACAAACTGTACAACAACAAGAATAAAGATGGGTTTCTTTATATTCAAACTATTTGACTTTTAATTTACTCGAATTTCAATCCTATTAAGCAGATCATTAGATAAAACCTGTACTTGTTATAAAACTGGTGTATAGTTCATGCCCGTAGCTGTCACTGTTTCTTGCTGTTTCTGCTGTTTCTTCTGATCATGAATGGAACTATATATATTTTTTTCAGAGTAATTGTGTGAAGAGTACTTGACAAAGGTAATTTAGATCTATTGTGAATAGATAGTATTCACTGAACAAAAGTTTTGTAAAAGGTTTTCATATCACTTCTGTGTGCATGCCCTATCGTTTTGGCATCAGAACATATTTTAAATAAAATTGACCTTCTAAAGGGACAATGAATTTCAGGATATACAACTGTTTTAAATCCATTCTTTGAATATTTCTGATGCCAGTTTTCTAATACTTTCACTTTGTGAGGTACGCATATCTTGATGAATATCTTCCATTGCATATCCATATTCAACCTTCTTGTTGTCTTCTATTGACAAGTTTGAAAACTTGTTCTCGTAAAAACAACTTGGAGCACCGCCCCTTACGATGAGAACCACACTTGGTCGTTGTTGTCTTAATATGACGCCAGGTGAACCGGATGACCCTTGGTTAAACGCTGAATGGAATAAGATTTTCCTTGGTGGATCACGAAGTTCTCTGTAATAGTCTACACCATCAGGAAAATATCCCACACTCCACTGACTTAAGTCTTCAATGTATTTGTCAACATCATTATTTGGTTCAATAATTCCTGGGTAAACTTCGCTGTCTTCCTTCATCTGTACACCACCAGGATGACCTATAAGATGTACCTCTGAAGGAAACTGCTGAATTGTACTGAATGAAGACAAGGCTGGTGGAAACCCGACGTCTGAAAGGTGATGCTTCTTCAGTTCCAGAAGAGCAACATCAAATCCATCGTGTACGTAATGAACAGATCGTTCAAAGTTGAAAGAATTTTTTTCTTCACGGTCTTGAAGGTAAAGCTTCCTCTCAAATTGTATGAAGATTCTGGAGTGGTCCGTCAATTTTCGATGTTCTGTTATGTTAAAATATTTTTCAATCAATCATTCATTTCATATCAAATACAAATGCAAGCAAAGTTGTTAAGAATAATTATAGACAAATTCTCAAATCAGATGTCACATGAGTTTTGTTTGAAAAGTTGATATAATTTGTTTGTAGGAAATCAGGACAAAGCATTGTAAGAAATCAATGGATATTGAAACAATTATGTAAATTGGCAGATACGTTGTAACAGAGTTGAGTAACAAAACAAAAAGCATGCAGATTATACAACTATTAATATCGGAACATTCAAAACATTTATTTTAATGAAAACAAGCTAATTCAGAGAATTTGAGTCCTCCGCTTAGGAAAAAAGTAAACCAGTTTGGGTAGAGGGGGGGGGGGGTCGGATACCCTTGACTGAATTTGTAGAATTATGAAATGTATACATGTATACTGAAGAAAATAAAATATGCAAATATGGATATAAAGGTTTGATTGCTAATTCTTTAGTATGTGTATTGAAGAGTCTTTTTATATGGAATATTTATCACACTGTAATGATGAGTATATGAGTTTGTACAAGCCAGACCTCATACATTTTTCATTTCACATGCTGAATACTATCATTTAGTAAAAAATTTCGAAAAAAATAAATGGCTTAATCGGGATGCGAACCAGGGCCCTCTCACATGTGAAGCGAGAGACATACCACTAGACCAGGCGCCGCTATACACTAGCGTAAATTATATGCAAAGATGAAGTCACATACATGTATATATTCACGTTTGATATTGTCAAAATTTTACACAATGCATGGTGTCTAATATAACCTTCATTAAACAGTTCTATTAGATGTAATAAGAATATAAAGTACAATAAATACAATAACTACCAATAAAACAAGCGAGACGGGAAACTTTGAGAGAGGTGAGAGAGGTCCTAGGGAGTTTTGGTATAAAATTACATTGCAAAAGCTCAAAATCTTCTTAAAATATCGCCCGGTAAAGATAGTGTTTCATACAGACAGAATGTATAAATTCACGACCTTGAACTTTGACCTTTTGACCTCAAAATCAATAGAGGTCTTCCTTGGGCCACAGGAATTAGTTATGTAAAATTTCATTGCAAAAGCTCAAGGGGTTCTCGAGATATCGCGCGGAAACGAAAGTGTTATAACAGACAGAATTTGCGAATTTATGACCTTGACCTTTGACCTTTTGACATCAAAATCAATAGGGGTCTTCTTTAGCCCATAGAAGACGGACGGACGGACGGACAGACGGACGGACGGACAGACCCAAATTAATATCCCCCACTTTTCAAGCGGGGGACAAAAATTAATGTAAATCACAATAATATTATTCAAAACATTTGAACCTCATGACTTTAAAAACGAATGCCATCCTGTTTACCCCCTGTTTTATTCAAAGCTTGCCGTAACGTTCGGTACGGTAGTATATTGACTATGAGGAAAATAATCCAAATTTTTGAAAGGTGTTAAAATGAAATATTGATATTTCTTGAAGTATGTATACCACTACACATTGATACAGAAAATTCCAAAGAAGTTTTAACAAAAAGGCATTGATGATAGAAAAGTAATCTCAAAAATAATGATATCAATTCCTTTTGAAAATAGTTTTTCAACAATATAATCCTACTTTTAAGATGTTACGGAATATCTATGATACAGATACAAACTAGAGAGTTCTGAATATGAACTGTTTACCTGTAATAATGCTCTGTATTACGTGTAAACAAGTCATAATATATCTGTCTCCAACACGGAATCCTGTCCCTGCAGGATGACCATCGATGTAAATCATCCCAACACTTCTGCTGACTTCTGCTTTAAGTTGACTTGTCATCACATCTCTTTGAAACGTTGTCTTGGAAAAGGGATACAGTGGTCCTGTCTTTGATAATTTCGTCTTCGGCTATATGAAATGTAATATTATATAATTAAAAATTGAAATAGAAATTCTATAGAAATCTTTATATGCAAGCAGAATTCCTCTTAAGATTTGTAAAAATCGATAATATGAAATTTAATAAATTTTTGTCTTGGAATAATGATAACTTATTCAGATAAATTGAAATCTATAAAGCGAACAACAATTTATTATTTTCTATCACGAAGTGTAAAAAGAAAATTTAGACAATAACCTCGGAATGAGTTAAAACATTTAAACGATTCCGCTTCTGTGCTGAACTCTTTGTATGTGAATAGAACTGCGGGGCTTTTGGTTCCTCCTTGGAAAAAGAGATAGAAAAAGACATAGAAGCTATGTAAAATATATAAGATTTCTTCCCTATTTTTCATTCATGCTTTTTGGAAAACATATTTTATAAACATTGTTATGTGTCATGGGTTATTAAAACCATCATCTTAATTGTAGATTTAACGGAGAAGTGTGGGGGATGTTGATTACACAGAAAATCATTTTAATACATATTATTAGTAAAACTGATAATAAGTATTCGTGCTGAAATCTTTAAAACATATTTACCATTAACGTCACAAACTATTGTAATATAAATTCATACTTTCTCTCTTTTACCTGTTTCCAGAATCGCAGAGTGCTGGGAACGTTTATTTCGTGTTTTTCATCGAGGGGACAGTGCATACATTGGACTGTTTCATATTCTATTTTTAACAATTCACTCTCGGGTATAAATGACAGATCCTTTTCATTACATATTTTGTTTTGACATTTGAAACCTTTTTGAAAAGTCTTCTTTTCAGCAAAAGTCTTCGTGAGTTCTAACAGTCCAAGTTCAATATCAATTCTGATTCTAAGACAAACTTCAGAGTTTATTGTTAAAGGAGCAATACACCTGACTTGCAGCTGTATGTCATCATTACATATACCAAGAATCACCGTGTGATGTTGATGTTCAAACACTGCTGCTGTGTGATAGAGACATTGACTGCCTTTATCACAAGCAACACGCCATCCGAGGTAGCTCATGCAATAGGCTACAAGCCTATAAAACACGAACGAGGCAAACGAGTTGAATCGAAAACACAAAATCGACGAATAACTCCAATTCTCGTCAAAGATGTCTTTTTTAAAGGGTTTCTTGTTCATGCATGGGACATACCAAGACATTGCAGTTTTCTTCTTACTAATCACGACAAGCATTCGAAGCCTCTCCATATAAGACATAAGCTCAGCTTTCAGTTTAACATACGACGGTTCCTCTTTCCAAAGAGCTTCGAGAAGTGTACCCTTTAGTTCCCCTATCACGTTGAAACATTTCCATTCTTTTACATATATTCTTTTACAATCTTTGGTTACGTGGATTTTATCAGCAATAATTCTGCTGAATGCATTAGAGAACCATTGTATTCCAAGAATAACATGCTCGTTTAGTCCATCTTCGACAAAATATAGAAAAATTTCATGTGCATGATAAAATAGTAAGAAATCTAAAATTTCTTCATTTGTTTTCAATTGATATTTTTCGGGGATTTCAGAATTGACTTTTTTGATTTCCCCAGTGGACAGCAGCGGCTGTTTTAATTTTTTCAAATAATGTTCAAGCAAAGCCCATGAAGAAGGAACTTCGATTTTTGTGTCTACTTTGCGTGATACTATGTCTGCAATTGAACATTTTATGGACTGTAGAGAATTCTTGCATCCTTTGTTCAATTGCAAATTCGTTTCCATTAATAGACTTGTAAAGCCATGATTTGTCCTCTTCTGGTACGGCGAGCCAAAAGCTCTCAAAGAACTTTTCTATATCCTGAATTAAATAAAAAAAACTTTATTTATCAAGCTTATTTAGATATCCAAAACTAAGAAAACAAATATTAAAAAAAAAAAAGAAATTTTACATAAAATTTAACAGAACAGACACTCTCTGAAGATATATATCGTTGCCTTCTGTATTTCGTTTTGTAAAATCAAACAATTAAAATGACAAAACAAGAAGTCTGTGAGCCAATGCTCGCTAGTAATACCCCACTCTGATGTGAATATACACTATCATGTTAATATACACTAGTTCAGTTACGGGAAGATGCACAGATAAATAAGAAGTTGACATCAGATTCATATAAAAATAAATCCAACCATATGATATGCTCAACAAAGTATATGCTAGAATTTCAAGCATCTGCAATGAGTAGTTGCTGAGAAAACTGCACTAAGACTTAGGTTCTGTATGATACAGACAGACGCATGGATAAACAGGAAGTTGACATCAGACGTGTACAAAAATAAATCCCACCTTATGGCATGCATTAGCTATTGAGAACATTGTGTTAAAATATCAAGCATCTGCAATAAGAAGTTGCTGAGAAAACTGCAACAAAAATTTGTTAAGTATGAAACTTACAGATGCACAAATAAACAGGAAGTTGACATTAAAAGTGAGCAACACGAGTTCTAGGGGCCACATCGCTCACCTGAGCAACTAGCTAGGTAAATGCCAAAATCAGTTCAGTATTGAAAAGTTTCATTATATTATAAAAGTGAGTTCCAGGAAAGAGGGGGTGGGGATTCGAACAATCTCAAATCTGCATTTCCTAAATAAGAATGCTATTGAATTGATATGATAAAAATGGCTTTGGTGTTTATTGCTATGATTCATTTTAGTGATGCTATTGGATTGATGATCAATCATGGGTTTGTGAAGAATTTTAAGGATTGTTTTCATGCATTAATATGTAAAACTCTGATACCCCTTTTTGGTCCCAGTATGATTTGAACAAACTTGAATCTATACTACCCAAGAATGTTTCCATATAACTATGACCAATCACAACTTTGCTGTTGTCAAAAAGAAGAAATTTAAAGATTTTTTTCTACGTAATCCTACTTTAACCCCCACCCCCTTGAGCCCCCTATCCTCGAGGGTCGTGATTTGAACAAGAGGCCCAGGGGCCATATTGATCACCAAAGTACTGTGGCTAGGAAAAAGCAAAAAATCAGTTTAATATAAAAAATAAAGTTCAATGAATGAGTGGCCCCAACCTACTCCTCAAGGGAAGAAGGGGAAAGGGGAAAGGGAGAAGGGGTTCAGTTTGAACAAACTTGAATCTACACTATCTGAAATTGCTTCCAAATAGAATTAGAAACCATGGCTTTGCAGTTCTTGAGAATATTTTTCCTATATATTCCTATGTTAAACTTTAATTTGATTATCCATTGTAGCTCCACCCTACAAAGGAGGGGGGGGGGGGGGGTTATCAAACTTCAATCTACGTTATCTGTGGATGCTTTCTTATAAATATTTACAATCACGGCTTTGGTGTTCTTGAGAAGAAGACATTTGAAGATTGTTTCTATATACTATTATTCTGAACTTTCATCGTCCATTGTGACTCCATCCTATCAACAAGGGCCAAGATTTAAACAAACTTGCACTACACTACCTGTGGAATCTTTCACATAAATTTGACCAATTATGGCTTTGATGTTCTTAGGAAGAAGATTTCTAGAGATTTTTTTCCTATAAATTCCTATGTAAAACTTTGATCGTCCATTGTGGGCCCACCCCTTCCCCAGGTGTCATATTTTGAACAAATTTGAGTCTTCACCAACTGCAGATGCTTCCATATAAATATGACCAATCAAGGCTCTGATGTTCTTGAGAAGAAAAGTTTTAATATGTTTCCTATATATTCCTATTTAAAACTTTAATCATCTATTCTGGCCCCTTCCTACCCCAGGGGGTCATGTTTTGAACAAACTTAAATGTACACCTTTGAGGATGCTTCCATATAAATATCACCAATCATGGCTTTGCTGTTCTTGGGAAGACTACTTTAAAATACTATAAACTTAACAAAACTTCTAAGTGTTCACTTAAATAAATGTATAATTTATTTAAAAACTCCTTTATGGAATGGTGTGATATTTTCAAATTATTACAACAAATGAGTTTACTCAACAATTGTTGAAAGAAAATCAAATATCACTGATGAAAGCCAATGTTCCGTGACGAAGCTTAAAAATAATTAATCTGTACTTTGTGGCACGTGTTTTGTGTAATTAGTATCATTCTGTGATAATTATTAAAATCTTAAAACTGGTTTCACTAAAAACACAAAACATTGGCAAATTGACTATTGAGATAGAAGGGAGAGCCGTTGGAATGTTGATATCTGGATCATCATTACGACACATTTTATTCACTTTTATTTTAGTGCTTAATTGTACTTGATAATGCTTTTAAAAATTAACAACAAATATCAAAACCCATTTAAACACATTTTTCTATAGACTGTGTGTCATTTTTCATCACAAATTTATCAGAATTTGAAAGGTTTTGACAAAATTTGACCAAACCGGAAGTGACCTTGAACTTCTTCTGATGCCAGAATTTTGCGTCACACCATGTTAAAAGAGTGTTAAATTATCCTGAAACAATCGTAGAAACATGAAAATAAACAATTTTAATCGTACGAAAATGATAAGAAATCGGTGATCATGACAGTCTAATATCAGCTCAAGCAGTCTGAATTACCCTTTAAGAGATGCTCTTGTGCTAAACACCCTAGGGTATAGACCAAAAAGGCATCTGTGTGATGATACACTGTCAAATTCCCGGATCTGAATCCCATTGAACACATTTGGGATTTTATAAGAAATGTCACCCCCCCCTTTCTATGCAATTTCAACGGTTTGGAAAGATATAGGCAGTAGGTGTTACAGCAGATGGGTCAATATACTACTAAGGGTCATATGGTATTTTAAAAATTGTAATTACATTCTTGTAGTAATTAGAGCGAGAAAAGGATTATCAAAGAAGTTTCCTGTATATTCCATTGTTAAACTTTGATAATCCAATGTGGCTTCACCCTACCCCCGGGAGTCATGATTTGAACAAATTGAAATTTAAATTGTCACTACCAGAGGATGCTTCTACATGAGTTGCATCTATCCTGCCCCAGTGGTTCTTGAGAAGGAGATTCTTAAAGATTTTT